GTCCAAACGCCTGATCACTGTCTCCCAAAGCAGTAACTCTACTCCCAACTCACAAACAGAAAATGGAATGTTTGTGGACAGGAAAAGAGATTTAACGATGGGCTTAAAGCTAACCTTAAAAACTGTAGCGTGGACACCGTAGACACCGAGAACTGGGAAGCTTGGCCCTTTAGTGCTCTAAATGGAGGTCAGCTGTGACCAGCAGTGCTGCGGAATTCGAATAGGCATGAATAGAGGGCGAAAGGGAGAAATGTGCCAAGAGGAAGAGGGTGCATCAAACCAACCCTTCCCAGTTCTCAGGACTGCCTTCCACCTGGAAACCGATGTCTTCACTGTGGAATAATATGCGGGTCAATAATTGGGCTCCACAGTCACCTACGTATCGACTGCCAAAACATTGCACTTGAAAGGCCATCATTTTCAGACAACGAAGGATCGCCTAAGTAAGTAGGTATTAGCTTCCATATTGAACGATGGGTCCTGTTATACTTTGCTACAAGGCTGTTAACTATTTCCAGGTATAGAAAACAAATACTCTGTAGCACCCCCCCAGAAAGACAACATTCGTATTACAGCACTAACAAAATATGTATATACAGAAAGCATATTTAGATTGTCATTCTATACACATTTCTTAGGAATAAAGTGAACATGAATAAACATGTATCCACTTGCTTTTTAGGCTACTATCCAAGATATACCTTCCTGGAAGTAAGCAAACACAAGTTGAAATCTATGTTTGAGTAAGCATACAATGCAAAATATACTTATGTAAATATTTCTACTCCTAAAAACTAGGCAACAAATCTAAAGAGTTATGAATCCACTTTCACCCTCCAATCATTTCTGCCACTTTTATCTCATGCAGGTTTGACACTAATGTCTCTTTTTTAAAAAAATTGCATCTCTTTTAAAAAATTGCATTGGTTAATGTGAAAGAACATCATTCTGTTCACAAGCCCTTTAAAATTGTGGTCTCAATAGGATGCAGATGTTACCAGCAATATTCTGTATACACTTATAGTGCAATAAGATTTAAGTATGCTAACCTTTCATAGAATATATACATTGATCATAACTGATGTTGCACATTTCCTTTGATGCGATATATGTGCTACTGTCTTTTGTTTTACCTTTATGACAACCTTATAGTGTAGACTAAGTCACCAAGATATGGCCCAGCATGGGTCATGGTTGAGTTAACTCAGGCATGGGCAAACTTTCTAGCTTGGGGGCTGCATGATAGGCTGGAGCGGTGTGGGTGGACTGGGAGGGAAGAGATTCTCTGAAAGTCCCCTACCTGCCCTTTGCTCCCCTTCCTCTTCTCTTTCAGAGGCAGAAAGTGAAGGAAAGAAGGGAAACGTTTGGATCCCAAAAGAGTTGCCCTTGGTCAGGATGAGATGGTGAATGGGAGAAAAGTGTGTCCACGAGACCCCGTATTGCCTGCTCCTGATATAGAATCCTAGTTGGAAGAGGCCCCCAAGGGCCATCCAGTCCAACCCCCTACCATGCAAGAAGGCACAATCAAAGCACTCCTGATAGCCTCTGTGGAAAAGCCTCCAGAGAAGGAGACTCCACTACACACCCAGAAAGCCTAGGCCACTCTCCACCTGCTCTTACCCGCGGGAAGTACTTCCGAATCTTTTCAGTCAGATCTCTTTCTCTGCCATTTGAACCCATTGCTCCCTTGTGCCCTGGTCTCTAGAGCAGCAGAAAGTCAGTTTCCCCCCTCTTCCTCAATGGGACACCCTTTTAAATCTTGGAACATGGTTTTCATGTTCCCTCTCTACCTTCTCTTTTCCCAGCTAAACATCTCCCAAGAAGAAAGGAAGAAGGAAAAGGGAAGGAAGAATGAAATAAAGGGGAGAAGAGAAGGAAGGAAGAAAGGAAGGAAGGAAGGAAGGGTGGAAGAGAATAGAGGAAGGAAAGACAGAAGGCAAGGAAGTAGAAGAAAAGGGAGAGAAGGAAGGAGGGAGGAAAGAGGAAAGCAAGGAAGGGAAGGATGGAAGGAGAAAGAGGGAGGGAAGGAGGAAGGAAAACGAGAAGGAAGGATAGGATGGTGAGAGAGAGGAAGGCCTGAGAAAACAGCCCAAGGGGCTGCATCTGGGCCTAGGTTTGCTCATACCTGGGATAGCTGGATGTTTATATGTCTCTTGCTATTCACATTCTGGAACCAGCTGATTCCCCTGCAGCACTAGCTGGTTTTTGAAATCCATTTATGGTCAAAAAAATTGCCAGTTTCCTTCACTGCACACTTGATTTGCCATTCCATACAATTGTCCTGACTTCCCTTTCCACAAAATTCCCATTCCCTTTTCACTTCACTTTCCATAAAATAGTGAAAAAGTCTAACCCAGCTTCTTATAACGCAGGTTGCCAACAACATAACTGAACATTTATGTCAGTGCGGAGCATAGTGAATCCATGCTAGTGGTTTCTTCAAGACTTTAAAGGATCTCTCCAAGGTGCTGAGCTTATTTTGTGGCCGAGGTTCAGCACTTTGGATCCATCCATGAATGCCTGAAATAAAACTGCACTCTTGACATGGAGGCTGCCAACAAAACACCATTTAATGCTTCTTAATTACAAACAGATCTGAATGGCAAGGTGAAAAGCTAACAATTTCCATGCAACAAAATAACTAGTTGTAAAAAGATATCAGAACAAATAAGGGGCCCGAAGATGTTCTGTTTTTTGCAAAGTCGGCTCTTTTCTTTTGGTTCTGCAAGAATAAAAACGGGTGACTCCTCTATCCACTTTAAATCAGAACACAGTGTGATTCACAAAGGACTACCACCTCAGCCATTTCACAGAAAATCTGCTACAAAACAGGAGCTTTTTTGTTGAGTTCAAGGGCCAGAGAAGCAGATGGTGGAAACAGAAGAACGGCCTGCCTCAGGGAAGTGTGCTTACTCCATCCATGTTTAACATGTAAACAAATGATCGGTCTGCTCAAGCAGGGAGCTGTGAAATGGTTGAACAGAAGTTCTCCAAAGCTTTAGAGCAGTGGTTCTCAACCTGTGAATCCCCAGGTGTTTCGACCTACAACTCCCAGAAATCCCAGCCAGTTTACCAGCTGTTAGGATTTCTGGGAGTTGAAAGCCAAAACATCTGGGGACCCACAGGTTGAGAACCACTGCTTTAGGTGCTCTTACTGCCTATTACAGGGAAACCAACTGATTCTCAATCAGTCTAAAAGGCAAACATGCTTTTCACCTTAAGAATAGACAAGCATCTTGAGCTCTGAGGATGACCTGGGAAGGAATCCCACTGGAGCATTGCAGCACACCAAAATATCTAGGAGTCACCCTGGAACATGATCTGACTTACAAGAAGCACTGCTTCAAGCAAAAAGTGGGCACTAGAAATGATATCACACGAAAGCTGACTTGCACAACCTGGGGATCACAACCAGACACAGTGAGGACATCTGTCCTTGTGATTTGCTATTCTGCTGCTGAATAGGCATGCCCAGTGTGGAACACATCTCACCACGTTAAAACAATGGATGTGGATCTTAATGAGACATGCTGCATTATCATAGGAGAAATTATACTGGATAAATTATACTGTTTAGCTGGTATTGCACCACCTGACATCCATTGGGAAGTAGCAGTCAATAATGAAAGGACCAAGGCATCTCCTGCTCATCCTCTGTTCGGATATCAATGCCTTAAATCAAGAAATAGCTTTCTAAGATCTACAGAGTTACTTGCAGGAACCCCTCAGCAAGCAAGGATCCAAAAGTGGCAGGCTAAAATCCAGAACCTCAATCCATGGCTGAGACCGGATGAGCAACTCCCTCCTGAGCACACAGAAGACTAGGTGACTTGGAAGGTGCTGAACAGATTGCGCTCTGGCACCACGAGGTGCAGAGCCAACCTTAAGAAATGGCGCTACAAAGCGGAGCTCACGACATTTGAGTGTGGAGAAAAGCAAACCACAGGCTACTTACTACAATGCAGCCTGAGCCCTGCCACATGCACAATGGAGGACCTTCTTACAGCAACACCAGAGGCACTCCAAGTGGCCAGCTTCTGGTCAAAGGACATTTAGCATAATGCCAAGTTTTTAACTTTGTTTGTGTTTTTAAATACATTATAACTGCACCCTCAATTTGCTTCTGACACGATACATACAAAATTAGAACACAGCAAAAATCACCAGAAAGTGTTGAAAGGAGCAGAAACCTAGCCCTTGGATTTCGGGGAACATTTAAAAGACTGTGTTGTTAGTCCATAAGGATGGATCCAAAGCAATTCATTACCATTAGATTTTTTTTTTGTTGAATATTGTCATTCTTGCATGTTTCTGAAAGGTCATAGTTGTATAACAGAAACATCCTAAAATGTTTTCTTCTCTGGGTAAGAGAAGCCAACCGAATTTATCTCTCGTAGTTGATGAAGAAGGTATTCAGGTGTCATTCACTTTCTAGCAATGTTGAGTAGGAATTTGTTGGGTCAGTCTGTTGATCTGTTTTCTTTTTCTTTTATTGAAGTATTCTGAGAAGAGTAGGAAGCCAGCAAGCTCTGAAGTTGCCATTTCCATGAACATCTTGTGACGTAGATGAATAATGCAGGAGACAAAACCCTATGTGGATATTATGGGGTTGTCACATGCTGGCAGAAGTGACCAAATGCAAGAAGTAATATCACATGACTTCTAATATTTCACAGACTGAATAGATACAAGGCCAAGCAATGTTAAAGTGGGATAAAGCTGGCAAAGGCTGTGAATGGGGGAAGGCAGACAACCTAGGAGAGATTGCAGCAGTTTGCTTTTGCCTCAGCCTACAGAGAAGGGCACAATTCCACTTTCCTCTCCTCCCTCCTGAGTTAATTGAATGCAAACTACTTTGTGCTCAATGTGTTGTCGAAGGCTTTCATGGCCAGAATCACTGGGTTACTGTGAGTTTTCTGGGCTGTATGACCATGTTCCAGAAGCATTCTTTCCTGACATTTCACCCACATCTGTGGCAGGCATCCTCAGAGGTTGTGAGGTCTGTTGGAAACCAGGAAAATGAGATTAATATATCTGTGGAATTATGTCCAGAGTGGGAGAAAGAATTCTTGTCAGTTTGAGGCAAGTGTGAATGTTGCAACTGGCCACCTTGATTAGCACTGAATGACCTTGTATCTTCAAAGCCTGACATTCCACAGATATATAAACCTCACTTGCCTAGTTTCTAACAGACCTCACAACCTCTGAGGTTGCCTGCCAGAGATGTGGGTGAAATGTCAGGAGAGAATGCTTCTGGAACATGGCCATACAGCCCGGAAAACCCACAGCAACCCTGTGATTCTGGACATGAAAGCTTTCGACAACACGGATGGGATAAAATTTAAACATATGTTGCTCGGAAAAGGTAATTAAAGTGTTTAGAGTGGGATGTGAGTTAAGTTGGGTTAAATGTTTAAAAGAGGAAGTAGAAAGGAGAGGATAGCATGTTTGTAGAAGGGGATCATCTGTGGAACGGGACAAATGTCTCTTGAAAAAGAATCTTTGGAGGGAAAGCGAGACACACAGCTGTGAAATGTCTTCTTAATGTCTGGTGGCATTCAGTAGCAGTTTCTCTCCTTTGTCTGAACACTTTCTCAACCTGGCAGGTGTCCACCATCCTTCTCAACGCCCGTCTTCATCTTCATGAAGGGAGACTTTAACCCCTTGAACTTACTGCTGGCATGGATCAAAGCGCTGGAGTTTGGTTAACTGTTGCAGCTGCCACCATTGAGCATGACTTGACCCTCACTTCGGAAGCCATCTTGCTTCTCCACCGTGGATGGAGAAACTGACATTGCAGCATCCACATCTTGCGCGCTGAGCCCGGTGAGTTCCCCTTTGTAAACGTTGCTGCCACTGAGGGAAGTGCTTCCTGCCCCCTGAGGCTTTTTCGAGGCATCCTGATGGCGGCCATTTTTGGAGCCCTCATAGTGGGCATGGTTGCCCAGGCGGCCAGAGGCAACCACAGCTTTCATGGCAGCCTGTGAAAAAAAACAGTTGGAGGGAATGTTTGTTAACTGTAAAAGATTTATTGGCCTAAAATTAGTTTACTGGTTATACATTACTGTTTTTTTGGTGATAAATGATTTGAAGGGGCCATGGTAGCACAGTGGGTTAAGCCGCCAGCCGCAGAAAATCTTGTCAACCAGAAGGTTGGCAGTTCAAAGCCATGGGTTGGGGTGAGCTCCCACCATCAGGCTTATCTTCTGCCTACCTAGCAGTTTGAAAACAGTCATGTGAGTAGATCTATAGTTATCCCTTTGGCGGGGAGGTAAAAGTCGCCCATGCAGATATGCCAGCAATTTGATCAGGAAGGTGTCCATAGACAAGAGGCTCCTTGGCATTGAAAATGGAACAAGAGCACTTCCCCATAGCCAGAGTTAAGCACAGCTTCCAGATGCCAGAGATGAAAAGGGAGAAGTCTTTGCCTGTGTCTACGTACTGCCTGCCTTTGCTGTTAATTATATAACGGCATTTAATGTTTGACATATATGTATTCTGTGATCTGCTCTGACTCCCCTTGGGGGGATAGAGTGGAATATAAATAAAATATATTATGACTATTGCTGTAGGCCTTCATCTTTCAAGGGTGCACAGGACCTCTCCAAAACTCAGGGGGGAAACCCAAGGGAACGCCTGCCTGTGAATCTCGATGTCCTCTAACATTTATTTATTTGCATCATTTTTATCCTGGCCATTTCAGCCCGAAGGTGACTCAGGGCGGCTTACAAACCGGCAACAATTAGATGCTGTATATAAAAACATACATAAGTCAGTTAAAACAATTTAAATCACAACCTAAATACATATAAAAACCATAACAACTATAAAACCTATAAAAGTCTATAAAAACAGCATCTTCAATCCAATTCCTCATCCATTTACATCATCTTTAGCTGTTCCGTATTCATATTCCAGATTGTGTTTATTTGATCATGCTGAAGTTTCAAATGCCTGCTCAAAGAGCCATGTTTTCACCCTTTTCTGAAAAGTCAGGAGGGAGGGGGCTGATCTAATATCCCTGGGCAGGGAGTTCCATAGCTGAGGGGCCACCACTGAAAAGGCCCTGTCCCTCGTCCCTGCCAGACGTGCCTGTGAGGCAGGCGGGATCGAGACCAGGGCCTCCCCAGACGATCTTATATGTCTATAAGGATCATAGGAAGAGATGCGTTCAGATAAATAAGCTGGGCCAGAACTCTTTAGGGCTTTATAGGCTAAAGCCAGCACTTTGAATTATGCCCGGTAGCAAACTGACAGCCAGTGGAGCTGACGCAGCAGTGGAGTTGTATGCTCCCTGAGTGCAGCTCCCGTTAGTAACCTGGCTGCTGCACGCTGGACCATTTGAAGCTTCTGAGCAGTTTTCAAAGGCAACCCCACGTAGAACGCATTGCAGTAGTCTATACGGGATGTAACCAGAGTGTGGACTACCGTGGCCAAGTCAAACTTACCAAGATACGGGCACAGCTGGCGCACAAGTTTTAACTATGCAAATGCTCCCCTGGTCACCACTGAAATCTGGGGTTCCAGGCTCAGTGATGAGTCCAGGATCTCACCCAAGATGTGAACCTGTGCCTTCAGGAGGAGTGTAACCCCATCCAGCACAGGCTGTAACCCTATGCCCTGTTCGACCTTACAACTGACCAGGAGTCAGGAGTACCTCCATCTTGTCTGGATTTGATTTCAATTTGTTTGCCCTCATCCAGACCGTCACAGCGGCCAAGCACCGGCTCAGGACCTGAACAGTCTCCTTAGTAGTAGGTGGGAAGGAGTGACAGAGTTGGACGTCATCTGTGTACAGGTGACACTGCACCCTGAAACTCCGGATGACCTCCCCCATGTTAAACAACATGGGAGACAGCAGTATTGAGCCCTGAGGAACCCCATAAGTCAATGGTTGTGGGGTTGAACAGGTGTCTCCCAATAACACCATCTGGGAGCGACCCRCTAGGAAAGACCGGAGCCACTGCAAAACAGTACCTCCAAGGTCCATTTCCGTGAGACGTCCCAGAAGGATACCGTGGTCAACGGTATCGAAGGCTGCTGAGAGGTCCAGCAGAACCAACAGGGACACACTCCCCTTGTCTAGCTCCCGGCATAGATCATCCACTAAGGTGACCAAGGCTGTCTCGGTACCATGTRCCGGCCTAAAGCCAGACTGTGCCGGATCCAGATAATCCATGTCTTCAAAGAATACCTGGAGRTGTGAGGCCACCACACGTTCCAGGACTTTGCCTAAAAGGGGAGACTGGAAACTGGCCGATGACAAATTGAGTGGGGTCCAGTGATTGTTTTTTCAACAGCGGTTTTAWCACAGCTTGTTTTAAGCTTGCTGGAATATTACCTTCCCCAAGGGAGGCATTAACCACCACCTTCACCCACTCGGCCAATCCCCCTCTGGTTTCCTTCAAAAGCCAGGATGGGCAGGGGTCTAGGATGCATGTGGTGGCTCTCATTCCTCCAAGTATCTTGTCCACATCCTCGGGTTTCACCAATTGAAATGAATCCATCAAAATTGGACAAGCAGGTGCTCGTGTTACATCCAGAGACTGTCGTTAACATGGTGTCCAGGTCAGAARGGATCAAAGTGACTTTGTCCGCAAAGACCCGAGCAAATGTTTCACAGTGAGCTGCCGAGTTGTCAGGGATTCCATGACTCTGAGATCAACTTCTGCCAGAAGCTCGCAACAAAATTGCACTGGGGAAAATTTAAATACTATGAGCATTGTTCTCTCTAGGAATTTCTAGGTCAGTGGTTCTCAACCTGTGGGTCCCCAGGTGTTTTGGCCTACAACTCCCAGAAATCCGTCAGTTTACCAGCTGTTAGGATTTTTGGGAGTTGAAAGCCAAAACATCTGGGGATCCACAGGTTGAGAACCACTCCTCTAGGGTCTCCAGCACAACTCTTTGGCAGGTCAACCATAGAGTCGTGCTGGAAGATCTCACGATTCCTAAAGAGAACATATAAATAAATTCTGTGAGATTCCAACTCCAGAGATTCCTGGATGAGGTTGATTATTTGGATCCTTTCCATTCTGGCTTCAGACTGGGTCATGGAACAAAAACAGCTTTGGTCACCTTGGTGGATGATCTCCGCGAAGAGACTGACAGGGGAAGTGTGACCCTGTTAATTCTCCTGGACCTCTCAGCAGCTTTTGATACCATCAATCATGGTATCCTTTTGAGAAGGCTCGAGGGGATGGGGCTAGGAGGCACTGTGCTGCAGTGATTCTGGTCCTTCCTTGCGGACCAGTCCCAGAAGTTGCTTTTAGGAGAGTCCTGCTCGACTTCATAGTCAGTGGGCTGTGGGGTCCTGCAGGGCTCATCTTTATCCTCAGTGTTGTTTAACATCTACCTGAAACCACTGAGAGATATCATCCGGAGTTTTGGAGTTTGGTTTCATCTGTATGCGGTACCTATTGATCTACTCGCATTACGGTTTTCGAACTGCTAGGTAGACAGAAGCCAGGGCTGATGCAGGAGCGCCTTTTAACCTGACACCAAGGAAGTGGTCCTGCCCTTGAGCCATTGTCTGAAGACAGTGATGAACTAAATGAGGGTAAGCAAGTTGAAGCTCAATCCAAACAAGACAGAGGTACTGCTGGTGTCTCAGAGGAGGGACCTGGGAATGGCATTCCAATCTGAGCTGGATGGGGTTGCACTCTCCCAGAAATCTCAGGTGCGCAGTTTGGCGGTCATCCTAGACTCTGCTTTAAACCTGGAAGCCCTGATGGCAGTGGTAGTTAGGCCAGCCTTCACACAACTCAAGCTTGTGAGCCAACTGCACCCATTCCTGAAGACTCCGAACCTGGCTTCAGTGGTACAGACATTGCTTACATCCAGATTGGACTACTGCAACGCTGGTCTATGACCGAAATAAATTATTTGATTTTTGACTGCTGCAATGCACTCTATGTAGGTCTGCCCTTGAAGAGCATCTGGAAATTGCAGTTTGTTCAGAGAGTAGCGGCCAGGCTTCTGACAGGTGCAAACTTCAGGGAGCGTACTATGCCTATCCTGAAGCAACTCCATTGGTTGCCTGTCCGGTTCTGGGCTCAATTCACAGTGTTGGTCATCATCTATAAAGCTTTGGTCCAGCTATATGAAGCACCGTATCCCAATACATCCCAGGCACAAACTTAGATCAAGCGGGGAAACTTGAATCAACAGGTGAGCCCCCACCAGTATGCGTTTATGCATAACTAGAGAAGGTGTCTTCTGGGGTGCAGCCCCAGCCCTCTGGAACTCCCTCCCTGAAGAACTAAGGGCTGCTCCGTCTTTACTCAGCTTTAGGAAGGGGGTCAAGACTTTCTTACGTAACAAGGCCTTTAATTGAGCCATGGCAGGAGTTGGGATTTTATGATCAGGGTGGAGGAGGAATACATGGGGGGGTGGTTATGATTTTAATTGAAATGTGGAATTTATTTATTGTTGTTTTATCATGGTTTTATCTATTTTGTTCTCCTGATTGAAGGATTTTAATGTTTGTATTCTGTTTGTAAGCCACCTTGGGTCCGCGTTGCTGAGAAAGGCTGAATAGAAATATACTAAGTAAATAAATGAATAAATAAATGGCCAAATCTGTAAATGTGGCTGTCTGCCTGCAATTGCTTCCTATTCCCCAGTAGGTTGTTTGCTTTTCTTCATCCCCAACTGCAAGAATGAAGACTTGCAAAAGTTTCCTCTCTACTGGGAAGAAAATCCCTCCAATGAAAATCAGGTTTGCCCCCTGGTGGCACAGTGGGTTAAACCACTGAGCTGCTGAACTTGCTGACCAAAAGGTTGGCGGTATGAATCTGGGGAGCGGGGTGAGCTCCCACTGTGAGCTCTGCCAACCTAGCAGTTCAAAAACATGCAAATGTGAGTAGATTAATAGGTACTGCTTCAGCGGGAAGGTAACGGCACTCCATGCAGTCATGCTGGCCATATGACCTTGGAGGTGTCAACGGACAATGCAAGCTCTTTGACTTAGAAATGGAGATGAGCACCAACCCCCAGAGTTGGATATGGCTAGACTTAATGTCAGGGGAAAGCTTTACCTTTACCAGCTGGAAAATTTCCTCAAGTCAAAATGGCATTTGCAGAAAAACACTTTTCCCCCACAAACAGTTAAGTCTTGAACCAATACAGTGTAAGAGACTCTCCTCAGTTAGTCCCAACTGTTGAATGTTGGGTCAAGACATAGGTGAATTCCAGCAATTCCGCTGGCTCTTCGGCTTAGAAATGGAGATGAGCACCACACCCCAGAGTTGGACATGACTGGACTTACCTAATGTCGTTGGGAAAACTGTTTTGTGACTGGCACAAAGTGGGAACATTCATGAGAAAATGAGACTTTTGTGAACATGCTTTCCTAGCTCCATCACAGAGTTACCACTTTTTAGAATCCGCACCAGGCATACTTCCCTTACCGCTCCCCAACCTGTCCCATTTCTGTCTACCTTCAGCTTCCTCCTGGCATTAAACTCCTGCAGTTTCTTCTGGGTGCTGTCCATGTGGGCAAACTTGGCTGTTTTGCCTGTCACCCAGGGGTGTTCGAGCGCCTGCTGCACTGTGAGCCTTTTCTGGGGATCCAAGACTATCAGCTTCTGCACCTACAAGGAGAAGGAGAACAATGTCCTCATGAGGTTGAACTGCTTTAATTTAAGGTGCTCAGCCTCTTATGGGTGACAAAATGGGCTGAATGCAAAGACAGGGCAATTTGGTGGGTCTGGGAGCTGGCTCTATTCTCCAAAAGACCCCAGAGATTTGTTAAAAGTGTATACCAAGAAGGTTAACCAGGATAATAAGAAGCAAAACCTAGGAGGAAAAGTTGAAGGAGTTGAACACGTTCAGCCTGGGAAGCAAAGATGGTGGCACTTGAAATATCTCAAGGGCTGTCAGAGAGAGAAGTAGGCAGATTTTTCTCTGCTGCCCCAAAAAGCAGGTCTAATGGTTTTAAGTTACAGGAGGATCTATTTCAGTTGAACCTTAGGGCTGGACTTTAGCACAGTGGGTTAAACTGCTAGCTGCAGAAAATCTTGCCGATCAAAAGGTTGACAGTTCAAGCCTGGGTTGGGGTAAGCTCCTAACTGTCAGCTCAGCTTTTGCTCACCTAGCAATTCAAAAACTGTAATGTGAGTAGATTAATAGGAAAAAAGGGAAGCCTTTACCTCTGTTTATATATGGTCTGTCTTTGTTAATTGTATAAAGGCATTGAATGTTTGTCGTATATGAGTCTCCTCAGGGAGATAGGGTGGATTATAAATAAAGTATATTATTATTATTATTATTATTATTATTATTATTATTATTATTATGTGAAACACGAGTCCACACGTCGGACACTTCCCAAGTGTCTAGGACTGTGTGATGTATCGGCGAATAATACGTGCAGATCCCAGTAAGGTGGCCTTCTGCAGCTGGTAGATGGTAATTTTGTCAGTGCCGATTGTGTTTAAGTGCAGACCAAGGTCTTTAGGCACTGCACCAGTGTGTCGAACACCACTTATTAGTATCCTCTTGATAGTGAGGACAGTTTGGCAATGGAGCCAATGAGCTAGAGAAGTGGTGGGGCTCCTTTGCTGGATGTCTTTCAAAGGAGGCTAGGCAGCTGTGTGCTGAAAATGCTCCAGCTAGATTCAATGGCCCTGTTCACTCTATGATTCCATGCTCTTTGGGATATGGATCGTAACTGTGCAGTTCATTGAATCATAAGAGACCACAAGGGTCATCCAGTCCAGCTCCTTGCCATGCAGCCAAGTTTGCTTGGCTCTGTACTGAACTCTTGGAGCCCATCTTCTGCAGGTGTTTAGCATTTCAAGGACAGAAATCTGGAGTGCTGATCCTGGGTAAAATTAGTTGCCTACATTCCCAGTTGTATTAGGACAATGGAAGCAGTAATGCTACCTTCCACTAATAAAAGTCAGTGATCTATGTGTCATGGAGTCATGGAATTGGAAGAAACATGAAGAGCCACCCAGTTTGTCTGTTTTCATTGTCAGATGATATCAGAAGGAAACCTACATAGACCTGTCAGCAGCTTATGATACTGTAAATCAGTGGTTCTCAACCTGGGGTCCCCAGATGTTTTTGGCCTACAACTCCCAGAAATCCCAGCCAGTTTACCAGCTGTTAGGATTTCTGGGAGTTGAAGGCCAAAAACATCTGGGGACCCCAGGTTGAGAACCACTGCTGTAAATCATTGCCTCCTCCTGAGACAAATGTATAATATCACAAAGGATTACCACCTCACTTGCTTCATAGGAAATCTGCTACAAAACAGGAGCTTTTTTGTTGAGTTCCAGGGTCAGAGAAGCAGATGGCAGAAGCAGAAGAACGGCCTGTCTCAGGGGAGGCATGCTTGCTCCATAAATGTTTAATATTTACACAAATGATTAGCCACTGCCAGAAGGGATAGGGTTTTATCTATGCTGACGATCGTTCCATCACTGCTCAAGCTTAGAAATGGTTGAACAGAAGCTCTTTGAAGCTTTAGGTGCTCTTACTGCCTATTACAGGGAAAACCAGCTGATTCCTAATCCATCTAAAATGCAGATGTGTGCTATTCATCTTAAGAACAGACAAGCATCTCGAGTTCTGTGGATGACCAAGGAAGGAATCCCATTGGAGCATTGCTGCATGCCAAAATACCTGGGAATCACTCTGGATTGTGCTCTGACTTACAAGAAGCACTGCTTGACTATCAAGCAAAAAGTGGGTGCTAGAAATAACATCATATGAAAGCTAGCTGGTACAACCTGAGGATCACAACCAGACACAGTGAAAACATCTGCCCTTGCGCTTTGCTACTCTGCTTCTGAATATGCATCTTCAATGTGGAACACATCTCACCACGTTAAAACAGTGCATGTGGCTCTTAATGAGACATACCACATTATCACAGGATATCTATGCCCTACACCACTGGAGAAATTATACTATTTAGCCAGTATTGCACCACCTGACATCCACCGGGAAGTAGCAGCCAATAATGAAAGGACCAAGGAATTGACATCTCCGACCCATGCTCTGTTCAGATATCAGCCAGCATGCCAATGCCTTAAATGAAGAAATACCTTTCTAAGATCTACAGAGATACTCACAGGAACACCTCAGCAAGCGAGAGTCCAAAGGTGGCAGGCTAAAACCCGGAACCTCAATCCATGGCTAATACCAAATGAGAGACTCCCACCTGGGCACACATAAGATTGGGTGACTTGGAAGGCACTGAATAGACTATGCTCTGGCACCACGAGATGCAGAGCTAACCTTAAGAAATGGGGCTTCAAAGGGGAGTCCATGACATGCGAGTGTGGAGAAGAGCAAACCACAGACCACCTATTACAATGCAGTCTGAGTGCTTTGACATGCACAATAGGCACACTAGAGGCACTCCAAGTGGCCAGCTTCTGGTCAAAGGACATTAGTATAAGGCCAAGTTTTGAACTTTGTTTGTATTTTTACATACATTACAACTGTACCCTCAAGCTTCTGACACGATAAATAAAATTTTAAAGTAAAGCAGCAAAAGCAGCAGCAGAATAGAGCAGTAGAGCAAATGAACTTCAGCAATTAGAGGAACAGCTGGAAGCTTTAAAAGTTCCAAAAGACTTTATTAAAAGAACTACATTTTTATATAGAAAGTTAGGGCCCAACTATCTCCCTCTCTAGAGATATGTTCTTTCTTCATGTGCATGAAAGAAGAACAAAAGGGAAGAATCAGAGACTTACCACAAGGTCAGAAACTTGAATAAAAGAGTCTGTCCTGAGAACTATCACTCTAACATCACAAAGACATAGAAGGACAGAATAAAGAGGCAGGCAGACAAAGAGGGCAGTGGGGGAAAGGACTTTCCCTACCAGCTAACTCATCTGCCTATCTATTTCCTTGATAAGGACTACAAACTTGTGCGGGATGTGGTTGACTTCCAACAGCTGCCACCTCCTGGTACATGCTGACTGAGGCAACCCCACTGTTTTAGATTAGGTCAGCCCTGGCGGCCACTCACCAGATCCTTGGCGTTGAGTGACACCTCATCCCACCATGGAGACACAAATTCGTAATCACAATTTAGGATCCTGCTGTACATGTATTGGTCTCCCCTTGGATCAAAGAACGGTTCAAAGCCACATAGCCTGGAGAGGGAAAGGAGAATAAAAGTGAGTATAACACTCACCTGATCCCAGTAGGAGCATTAGTATCCTGAACACCTGCATCAGTATGAAATGTATGAGACATCTTCTCACTATTAGAAAAACTTTAAATTGATTTTTATTGAGTCCTGGCATTTATGGATATCTGGGAATTTTAGAGATATTTTAATTTAATAGAATTTCCATTATTTATAAGATGATTGATGCTATGGCGCATCCTTGTAATTTTTTTTGGTTTTATAGTCTGTTTTAATGGATGACTTATCTTACATTGTCTATTTTAATGATGTTGAGTCCATCAGGAGAAAGGCGGCATAGAAATTCCCAAAATAAATAATCTATACACATAAAAAATTGAAAAGATGTGTGTGTATGTGTGTGTGGCTGGGGTGTCCATTTCCACAGACGAGCTCCCACTTCCACAAACAGCTATAGCACCCACTACTCAGGAGACACCAATGGCCCTCCCACCAATGACACTGCAGGTTATAGTGAGCGCCGTGAACATGCCCAAGAGCCCTTCCAATGTCCTCCACAAACATTGTATTGCTCATTGCCCAAGTGAAGGCTTTCATACGCGGACAATTCCATCCTAGATTTTATGTGTTTCTTCCACCACAGACTTCCCAGTGTTTCTTACTTTCTCCATTGGTGTGGAATTTGCATGTCCCCGCCCACTTCCTCTCCCTTGACCCTTTTCTATTCTTTTCTATGGCACACAGCAAACAGAGGAATTGATCAGCAACTGAATATAGAGAGGTTTGGGGAGAATTCACCATGATTTATAGGAGTTGTAGGCACTGGGATGTATAGTTCACCTGAAAATCTAAGAGCACTCTGAACGCCACCAATGATGGAACTGGAACTAACTTGGCACACAACCCCCACAACCAACAAAAAATACTGGAGGTTTTTGGAGGGATTTCTAGTAGTTGTAGTTCACTTACATCCAGAGCACATTATGAACCCAAACAACGATTCTGTATGGGAAGCTTGGCACAATTCTATTATTCATGGGGTTCAGAATGCTCTTTAATTGTAGGTGAACTATAAATCCCAGCAACTATAACTTCCAAATGTCAAGGTCTATTTCCCTCAAACTCCACCAGTGTACATATTTGGCCAAACTGAGTATCCATGCCAGGTTTGGTCCAGATCCATCATTGTTTGAGTCCACAGTGCTCTCTGGTGTAGGTGAGCTACAACTCCAAAACTCAAGGTCAATGCCCACCAAACCCTTCCAGTGTGTTCTGTTGGTCAAGGGAGTTCTGTGTGCCAAGTTTGGTTCACTTCCATTGTTGGTGGAGTTCAGAATGCTCTTTGATTGTAGCTGAATTATAAATCCCAGCAACTACAACACCCAAATGACAAAATCAATCTCCCCCAAACCCCACCAATATGCAAATTTGGGAGTATCGGGTATTTGTGGCAAATTTGGTCCAGTGAATGAAAATCCATCCTGCATATCAGATATTGACATTACAATTCATAACAGTAGCAAAACTTCAGTTATGAAGTAGCAATGAAAATAATTATATGGTTGGGGTCACCACATGAGGAGCTGTATTAAGGGGTCGTGGCATTAGGAAGGCTGAGAAACACTGGCTGAGACCGTTGATGGGGCCGAACTATAGTTTGAAATAAATGTAAACACATTTGTTTATTTATTAATTTACAGTATTCTTAATCCAAAGGGATTAAGAAGGTTGAGAACCACTGTTCTAGAGGAGCCCTTGAAAGCTTCTCCGGAAATGCAAGGGACATCGAAGCATCCAAAATGATTTAGTCTCATGTCTACGCCATAGCTGTGTGTGCCCACAAGACCCTCCTAAAAAGAATATGTCTTACAGGCGGCCATATGTTTCCAAGGCCGCTGTTCTTCTTGACCCTGCCACACAGATGAAGCCCACACGCAGGCAGACTCAAACACCATCTGCCACTTCGCCGCCCTCCTTATGAGTGTCTGTTCCGTCAGAATGAAAACCCAAACCATCCACAGTCAAATCTGCTCCAGAATTGTTTCCCAAAAAGCCTTGGGGCTCCATTAGCTTAACCTTGAATTGAGATGGAAACTACCCAATAATAGATGCCAGTAATAAACCAATGCCAAAGCGTTGGTCATAACAGCCATCTGTGTTGCTTAGGCTGATTTTCTTTTTAAAATATGAAAACACAGAGAGAAAGGAGGTCAGGGCTAGCTTTGAATTGACTGCCATGACTCAAGAGGCAGAAATGTGTTACTGGATTGGATAATGGATGATATGTGAGGCTGCTTTTGAAGTGTGTTTGCGAACTGCATTTAGTAAGAAGCCAGTATGGCATAGGGGTTTGAGCCTTGGACTACAACTCTGGACAATCTCAGAATCCCACTGGGTGACCTTGATTAAGTCACACCCTCTCAGCCTCAGAAACCCCTGTGATAGGCTCAACTTAAGGGTGCTATAAGGAAGGAAAAAAAGAGAAGCAAACACACACACAAAATAAATAAATAAAGGAAGGAAGACAGAAAGAAATGGAAGTAATGGAAGACTCAACACAAAGGATTGGGCCAAGCTTTAGCACAGCAGGGCCGAGCTTTAACGCAGCAGATTAACCGCCAGCTGCAGTAAATCTTGCCAACCGAAAGGTTGACATGTATTGTCGAAAGGTTGACAGTTCGAAGCCCAGGTCAGCGTGGGCTCCTGGCCTTTAGCCCAGCTTCTGCCTATCTAGCCTTCTCAAAAACAGCAATGCGAGTAGATAAATAGGTACCGCTAAAGCGGGAAGGTATTAATGGCACCCATAAGGAAGTGCCAGAAAACGCTGGCGATTTGATCTAGGAGGAAGTTTCTGTGATCTGCCCTGAGTCTCCTTCAGGGTGAGAAGGGCGGAATATAAATACTGTAAATCTATATAAATAAAAATGTAATGTTCGTTTGTGGGATTACCATAACTCAAAAACCACTGGACGAATTGACACCAAATTTGAACACAATACACCTATCAGGCCAATGAGTGGCCATCACTCCTAAAAACACTGAAAAACACAGAAGAGACTTTAAAAGCCAAAAAATAAAAATTACATTACAATACATGTGCAAAACCACACACACACACATATATGCAAACACAAATATATACACAAATATATGCACACACACACACACACAAAACACACATATACAGACCGGGCCACAGCCATGCGTGGCAGGGGATGGCTAGTCTATATAAATAAAAATGTAATGTTCGTTTGTGGGATTAACATAACTCAAAAACCACTGGATGAATTGTCGCCAAATCTGGCCTCAAAACACCTACTAACCCAAGGAGTGACCACCACTCAAAAAATTGATTTCATCATTTGGGAGTTGTAGTTGCTGGGATCACCTACAATCAAAGAGCATTCTGAACTCCACTAATGATAGACTTGAACCAAACGTGGCACACAGGACTCCCTTGACCAACAGAAAACATTAGAAGGGTTTGGTGGGCATTGACCTTGAGTTTGGGAGTTGTAGTTCACCTACATCCAGAGAGCACTGTGGACTCAAACAATGATGGATCTGGACCAAACTTGGCACGAATATTCCATATGCTCAAATATGAACACAGACGGAGTTTGAGGGAAAATAGACCTTGACATTTGGGAGTTACTGGGATTTATAGTTCACCTACAATCAAAGAGCATTCTGAACCCCACCAACGACAGAATTGGGGCAAACTTCCCACACAGAACCCCCATCACCAGCAGAAAAAACTTAAGGCCATCCAGTCCAACTCCCTTCACCAGGGCAAGAAAACGTAATCAAAGCCCTCCTGACAAAGAGCTATCCAGCCATAGATAGATAGATAGATAGATAGATAGATAGATGATATGATTCACACACACACAGATATAGTATCATAGATTTGAAAGGGACCCCTAAAGAAGGACAATGATATGTTGCATGTTCCAGAGTAGGCAAACCAGACACTCTCCACATCAACACTGACAAAGAAACAGCAAGAAATACTGTTTACCCACAAGCAAAAAGAAATAACATATATTAGAAACCAACACTTTCTCATTACTTTATTTTCCAGATCAACAGACTGGTAGATAGATTGATGGATGGCTAGAAAGAAAGAAAGAAAGAAAGAAAGAAAGAAAGAAAGAAAGAAAGAAAGAAAGAAAGATGAAAAGGAGGGAGGGATAAAGAGAGGGGAGGAAGGAAGGAAGATAGAAAGGGAGGAAGGATAGAAAGCACAGTCAGTATTGTGCGTGGTTTGAATGCTGGACCACGACTCTAGAGACTAGGGTTCATATCCCCGTGTTCAGTCATGGAAACCCACTAGGTGATTTCTCTCTGCATCAGAGGAAGGCATTGGCTAAGCTCCTCTAAATGAATTTGGCCAAGAGCACCTTAGGGCAGGAGTGCTGCAGTTGGCTGTAAGGCTTACAATAACAACAGAAGGAAAAATGGAAGACATAAAGGGCATAAAGGAAAGGAAGACAGGAAAATAAGAAGTAAGACAGACGTAAAGGAAGTGAAGATGGAAGCAAAAAGGAAAGGAAGGGAAGCAGAATATATAGTGTAGAATTAAGGCACCAGCATTCTTTGACAGAGCAAACCATAGACCTTGTAAACAACAACATCCATTATTCCAAAGTACATTAATTCTACTTTGCCAACAGGCTTTTGGGAAAGGAGAAGGGGAGGCTCTTGGAAGTTGGGTGGGATTGGGAGAGGGATATGAGTTTTAAAGGCCATTTAAATGTATTTGCTGTATTTTAATTCTGTTTTTACCATGCTGTTATTATTTTATTGCTTTTTTAAAACTTTTGTATAGCTTTTTAAAAACTTTTTAGTGTGGATAGATGTTAGTCGCCTTGAGTCCCCGTGGGGAGAAAGGAGGGATATAAATCAAGCTTCAGCTCCAGTAAAATCTTGCCAATCAAAAGGTTGGAAGCCCAGGTTGGGGTGAGCTCCTGACCTTCAGCCCAGCTTCTGCCTATCTAGCAGATCGAAAACAGCAATTGTGAATAGATAAATAGGTACTATGTATTGTTGAAGGCTTTCATGGCCAGAATCACTGGGTTGTTGTAGGTTTTTTCGGGCTGTATGGCCATGTTCTAGAGGCATTCACTCCTGACGTTTTGCCTGCATCTATGGCAAGCATCTTCAGAGGTAGTGAGGTCTGTTGGAACTAGGAAAATGGGTTTATATATGATAGCCTGAAAAAACCTACAACAATGCAGTAAATAGGTACTGCTTTAAACAAGGAGGTATTTAAAGGAAATAATAATAATAATAATAATAATAATAATAATAATAATAATAATCTTTATTTATACCCCGCCACCATCTCTCCAAAGGGACTCGGGGCGGCTTACATGAGGCCAAGCCCAACAATACAGCAATGCAAGTAAACAACATACAACGACAATGAAATATAAAAATAATAAAAAAATAAAATATAAGAAACAATATAAGTAGGGTTTAATTGCACCAGTAGGTAGAAAATGAAGTGCTTCCGAGGGCATTTTTTTGCAAGGTTTGGTCAGGTCAGGGGTTATAGTTCAGTTCATCATTCCTTGGAGGCACCCTGGAACAGCCAAGTTTTCAAGACTGCCAGAGTGTGGGCTTGCCTAATTTCTCTGGGGAGTGAATTCCAGAGCTGAGGGGCCACTACAGAGAATGCCAGAAAAATGCCAGCAATTCAATCGAGGATGAAGTTTACAAACAAAGCTCTTCGGCTGGGAAGATGGAGCAAAAGCACCCCCTGTGGCCGGAACTGAGCACAGCCTCCAAGATGCCGAAGATGGGGAAGCCTATATACCTCTATCTATGTACAGTTGTCTGTTGTCATTGTATAACGGCATTGAATGTTTGCCATATAGGTGTTCTGTGATCTGCTCAGAGTCCCCTTTGGGGTGAGAAGGGCAGAATATAAATACTATAAATAAATAAATAATGATACAATGTAGATGCACCCTAAGATGTTTCTGCCCAGCTTAGTTGTTAGGGTTCCCGTTGTGGGGGGAAAGGGGAAAGGTAGCAGAAATCAAGGCTGGCATTGATATTAGGTTTAAAGGCATGCGGGTGGTAGTAAATCCAACATTCAAACGCCAGGACAAGGCACAGGGCCACACTTGGGTTGTTGGCAGATGATGATGCCTGAACGAAAGAGGGAGAAAGAGAGAGGCAGAAGCAGGCAACCTGAAGGCCCATGCCTCTATGTCAAAGCACTTCAGCGTTACTCACAAGATATATGTTATGACGCCTACGGACCACATATCTACTTCAGGGCCATATGGCGAGCCGTGGAGAATTTCAGGGGCTGAAGGCATGCAAAGGAGAGAAGAAGAAAATGAAATCAGTCCCAGCACAGTGACGGCGGACATATGCGTCTCCGCCAAAGAAGCCTGTTTTCCTCACCACCCGCCTTTTTCCTCTCACACGCTCTCCTCCGCCAAGTGCTACTTTTAACACAACACCAACACTTGTCCTAACAACATTTTTTGGATGACTGGTCATTATCCTTGGCCTGTTCGCACCTGCCTGCTACCACTCCTAAGAGGGGAAAAAGGGCGAAGAATTGACACTCAGATTGGCGTAACAAACCGGGGAGAGAGGAGGAGAGAAAGAGGAGGTGACATATTGCTAATTTTGCATTTATTCCAGAGAGAACTGTGAGGCAGAAAAAGGAAAAAAGAGAGACTCTGAAAAGTACGAAAGCTTTGGTTTCCAGGCCGTGGGAGGAACATGGCATTTCGCTGCAAAGCCTCTGTTGTAGGACTGACTAATTGAATGTATATGCTGCTTTTTCTCACTTTCCTTAGACCTGCTAAAATAAGTGATAAAAAAACCCTAAATTAAACAGCCAACCTATTAAATATAAAAACAAGCAATTTAATCATCATGGTACACTCAAATCTGATGAGGTCTGACCAAAGCAGAACAGAGGAATACTCTGTTGGAGCATGTAAGAAATCAGTTAGTATGTGTGTGTGTCAACTGTAAAATAAGATGCACAAAGCTGATTGGCTGGGCTATGTCTAGGGAGCTAGCTGAGCCTGGGACTTTTGGTTACTGTTACATTTTTCAGGTTTGAGCCATGCAGGTGCTTGCAGAGAAGCAGAGAGAGGCTGTTTGGGGTGTGTTCTTGCTTCATGAGCTGCTGGAAGAAGATTTTCCACATGGACAAAGAAAAACCATTTAAAATCTCTATAAAAAGACATTATGTGAGTCGATGCAACTGATCACATGATTGTACATACGTTGTTCTGAATTACAAAGAGTAAACTACTTGTTCTTTATTGAACATCTGCGTGGCTTATTTTCTTTCTCTGGCAAGGCAGTGTGTGGACTGATCAAACGTGAACGACACATGGTTTATTTTACACTAGCCATTCAGTCTGTGTATATGTGTTTTGTGTGTGTGTGTATGAGTGTGTGTATGTTTGTGTATATGTGTATATATGTATGTTTGTGTATATAGGTGGTTTTGCGCATGCGTTGTAATGTAATTTTTGTTTTTTTGGTTTTTTAAGTCCCTTCTGCTGTGTTTTTCAGTGTTTTTATGAGTGATGGTCACTCATTGGCGTGATAGGTGTATTGTGTCCAAATTTGGTGTCAATTCGTCCAGTGGTTTTTGAGTTATGTTAATCCCACAAACGAACATTATATTTTTATTTATATAGATCAGTGGTTCTCAACCTGAGGTCCCCAGATGTTTTTGGCCTTCAACTCCCAGAAATCCTAACAGCTGGTAAACTGGCTGGGATTTCTGGGAGTTGTAGGCCAAAAACATCTGTGGACCCCAGGTTGAGAACCACTGATATAGATTATGCCACATACTCTCCCTTTCCTCGATCCCTAAAAATTAGGAAGAACCTCCTGAGCTGTAAGAGCTGTTCGGCTGTGGGATTTTCTGCCTTGGAATGTTGTAGCGGTGAATTCTTCTTGGGAGGTTTTGTAAGAGAAGCTATATGGCCATCTGCCAGGAGTGCTTTGATTGCGTTTTCCTGCATAACGGGGGTAGGGCAGTGCTGTGGTTCAGCCAGAGGCTGAAGGTGTGGAGATTGTTCAGTCAGAAGTTGTGCGAAATGATGGACTTTCCAGTGTGGGAAATAAGGGGATTTTGGATCATGATTCTGTTTGGGAGGATGGGTTTGTGTCTGGTCAGAAAAAAACGGTTTCAGAGCCGTAAGGAGATGGAGAGGGTGTTTGGGATTCCAACCTCCGTTCTTTGGCAACGGAAGATAAGGAACTGGAAGGGAAAGATCTTTCATCTGGGAAAACACCTGAGGTCAGTAGGAGTATGAGACTCGATCTCCGAGAGGAGGGCGTCAGATTACGGAGGTCACCGAGACTTTTTGAGAAATCCTTGAAACAAGCAAGATGTCAAAGTCTTAAAGTGCTGTTTACTGAAATGGTTAAAGCAGGCAACGCTGATTTACAGTTTACATCTTGGGTCATGTTCCTGTTTCAAGTTCAAGTCTACATCTAAGATCTTTGGGAAAGTCTTGTGTTCATGGATTCATGTTTTGGAAGAAGCTCCTGTGTTCCTGTTTATGTATTTATCCCTATGTTTTGATTCCTGTTTTCCCCACATACCTTGTCACCTTTGGACAGAACTTTGATATTTGGTTTTTGCCTTTTAAAAGCTTTTTTTCCTATCGCTTTTTCAACATTGCCTTTTAGAATCCTAGAGTTGGAAGAGACCTTGTGGGCCATCCAGTCCAACCCCCTGCCAAGAAGCAGGAAAATCGCATTCAAAGCATCCCTGACAGATGGCCATTCAGCCTCTGCTTAAAAGCCCCCCAAAAAGGAGCCTCCGCCACACTCCAGGGCAGAGAGTTCCACTGCTGAACAGCTCTCACAGTCAGGAAGTTCCTCCTCATGTTCAGGTGGAATCTCCTTTCCTGTAGTTTGAAGCCATTGCTCCGTTCCGTCCTAGTCTCCAGGTCAGCAGAAAACAAGCCTCCTCCCTCCTTCCTATGACTTCCCCTCACCTCTTGATCCATGGCCCTCATCATGTCTCCTCTCTGCTTTCTCTCCTGAAGGCTAAATATGCCCAGCTCTTTAAGCCGCTCCTCCTGGGGCTTGTTTTGCAGACCCTTGATCATTTTGTCACCCTCTTCCGGACACATTCCGGACACATTCCTTCAATTGTGGTGCCAAGAATTGCACGCAGTATTCCAGATGTAGTCTGACCAAGGCAGAATAGAGGGGTAGCAGGACTTCCCTGGATCTAAATACTATACTTTTATTTATGCAGGCCAAAATCCCATTGGTTTTTTTAGCCGCCACATTACATTGTTGGCTCATGTTCACCTTCTTGTCCACAAAGACTTCAAGATCTTTTTCACATGTACTGCTATCAAGCCAGGATCCCACATTCTGTACCTTTGCCTTTTGCCTTATTATAACTGCTTTCTTCCATAAACCGTTTAGTTAGTACTACTGGACTCTTGTGTGGTGCTTGGTGCAAAGGTGATTTCAGGCCCAGAGTGCAACAGACAGGATAGTTCTTGTGCTTTCTGCCAATGTCATGATTCTGTGACCCAGATGCTACACTCCTCTTGTTGTAAACTAGATGCATCTTGGCTCTTTTTAGCTGCAGCATCACACTCTTGACTTCTGTTCAGCTAAGAAACAATAAACAACAATGGTTTTCTTTCTTCTTCCTCTTACTAGCTCCTCCTTACCACAATATCCCGGAGTGCCACACACAGTCTTCATAGTATCCTGCTCATCCACAATCTTGGATAACCCAAAATCCCCTGGAAAGAAACAGAGACAAGGGGTGAGTGAAGTATTTCTGTGTCTTGTTTCCAAATAAAAATACCTCTCCTGTGTCTGAAACACCCCAAATATGAAACACTGAGGTGTTGGGAATTATTTTGAGGCAAAGGTTTTGGAAAATCAGCAATAACAGACACATTGAGATGGTGGTATTGCCTCCTAAAGTTCTTGGGGGCGAGGTGATACAGGTTTTGATGATTCTGGGGCAGAGCCCTAAAGCTTGGAGTTTGTCAAAGGTGTTGCCTGTCTTACCTATTTTGAGGGGGGCATCTGGAGAGAGATCTGCGTAGAGGAGGTTCTCTGGTTTGAGGTCACGGTGGACCACACCATTCGCATGCAAATACTGCAAGAAACAGAGAGAGAAAAAACATTTGAATATTGGCCAAAATAAACAACTATGCTGGCCTTTTACAGATCTGACTTCCCAGGAGCACTTTCTTCTTACAAGACCAAAATGAGGACTTAATTCAAATATAGTTTTATTATTATTATTATTATTATTATTATTATTATTATTATTATTATTATTATAATCCCCCCCCCCCCCATCTTCTTCCTCTCTACATCCTGGCAACTTCTCTTACTCTATTTTTCCCTACTTTTCTATCTTCTTCACAATATTCCCCCACTTTCCATGTAACCATAAACCCTTTCAATAAAAATTAATTTCAAATACATATACATATACATATATATATATAGTTCAGTCAATCAATAAATCAATCAATCTAAATTTTATTGTGGTCCAAAAACTCAATTGACTCAGCAGTAAAAGGTGCACAAAATGTGGACAGATTAATAATTTTTTATTCATCGTGTCAGAAGCGAATTGAGAATATAAAAAAGCAAATTGAGTTATAAAAAACTACAAAGTTAAAAACTTGGCATTATGCTAAATGTCCTTTTGACCAGAAGCTGGCCACTTGGGATGCCTCTGGTATTGCTGTGAGAAGGTCCTCCATTGTGCACGTGGCAGAGCTCAGACCGCATTGTAGTAAGTGGTCTGTGGTTTGCTCTTCTCCGCACTCGCATGTTGTGGACTCCACTTTGTAGCCCCACTTCTTAAGGTTAGCTCTGCATCTCGTGGTGCCAGAGCGCAGACTGTTCCGCACCTTCCAAGTTACCTAGTCTTCTTTGTGCCCAGGGGGGAGTTTCCCATCTGGTATAAGCCACTGATTGAGATTCTGGGTTCTAACCTGCCACTCTAATGCTGCTAGGGAGGAAGTTCCACAGCTGAGGGGCCACCACTGAGAAGGCCCTGCCTCTTGTCCCCACCATCCATGCTTGTGAAGAAGGTGGGACCAAGAGCAGGGCCTCTCCAGAAGATCTTAATCTCCGAAGTGGTTCATAGGGGGAGATATGTTCGGCCATGAAACCCATTTGGTGACCTTGGACAAGCCGCAGTCCCTCAGCTTCAGAAGACAAAGGCTAACTGCCTCTTTATATTCAAAATGGTTCTGGCCCAGTTTATTTGTCTGAACGTGTCTCTCGCTACGCGCCACCTAGGGCCCTAAGATCATCAGACGAGACCCTGCTTGTTGTCCCCCCATTGTCGTAATCGCATTTGGTGGGGAAAAGGGACAGGGCCTTTTCTGTGGTGGCCCCTCGGCTATGGAACTCCCTCCTGAGTGAAATTAGATTGGCTGCATCCCTCTTGTCCAGTGGTTCTCAATCTGAGGTCCCCAGATGTTTTGGGCCTACAACTCCCAGAAATCCCAGCCAGTTTACCAGCTGTTAGGATTTCTGGGAGTTGTAGGCTAAAAACATCTGGGGACCCCAGGTTGAGAACCACTCCTCTTGTCCTTCCGGAAACAAGTAAAATCCTGGCTATGGGATCAGGCTTTTAGAGAGTAGGCTGACTTGCTAACGTGCTGACCTATATAGAACTGATGGACTGCCCCTGGATAATGTTTAAATCGGTGACTGCTGACTGTTTGTTGTTTGTTTTTATACTGCTTTTATATTGTTCATATGGTTTTATACTGTTTATACTGCTTATATTGCTGTTTTATTATATTGTTGTTAAATTGTATATTCATGTTTTGATGTGGGCGCCATGGGTGCCGATTTGCTCGCCGTCCTGAGTCCCTTTGCGGAGGTTGAGAAAGGGCGGGATATAAAAGCCCTAAATAAATAAATAAATAATAAAAGGTCCTGCGACATAATAATAATAATAATAATAATAATAATAATAATAATAATAATAACAACAATATAATAAAACTTTATTTGTATACCGCCCTATCTCCCCTAGGGGACTCAGAGCAAAATAATACAAAAATATACAATATAAAACAAAAACATAGACATAAACTGTTAACACAACATATACATTAAAATCAATTTAAAACCAGTTCTGCTCTCTTCTTCATCCTAGTTAAGCTGCCAGGGGCAAAGATTTCAATAAGGGGCCTGGACTATTTGGAATGGGCTGGGCCAAGGAGAAGGAAAAAAATGGGGCTGGCTGAATACTATAGTACAAGGCTCGGTCTCAACAACGGCCCTACTAGGGGACCGGGGCCACTCAATTCAGGGCCAATTAAAGGACTATAAAAAGGTCTGGGACGGAAGAAAAGGTGCCCTCAGATGACCAGGAACTGGGGAACGGATGGGGTACAAGGCCAAGTCCTAACTGTTGGACAAAGGGCTTGAGACTAGTCATTATCGAAGGCCGGATATACCAAGGCTTCAAGTTTTTATGGAAGGAGGTGAGGGATGGGGCCAGCCTTATCTCCTTGGGGAGGGCATTCCAGAGGCAGGGGGCCACCACCGAGAAGGCCCTGTCCCTCGCCCCCACCAACCAGGCTTCATGGAATTGCGTTTTCGAAATCCCACATAACTGTAGTTAGTTTATTTATTCCCCCTACATCTTTTCTCTCTTTTGGCTTCTGTGCCCTGGGTTTTATATGGCCTGCTGCTGTCAGCTGATCTCTATCAAGGTCAGCTGACCTTGATGCTCATGACTGATTGGCCAGTGATTGGGTCAGTCATCACCAGGAGCTGTGGCAGAATGATTAACCCTTGTGGGGCCAGTTTGCCCCATGCCACACCAAAGGAAGAAAGGAAGATGAAAGCTCTCCCCACTGCCCTTCCTTCCCAATGGCCCGGCGGCCCCAAACAGCTGCTTTCTTGCCCCAAACAAACAACAGATGCCATGCAAATTGTATTACCAGTCGAGGGAGCTGCTGGTGCCAATCTTAATTTCACAGCTTGCCGGTTTTAGAGATTGGAGATGGGGAGCTTTAAAGGATACTGACAGTTCATATATGAGGGGGGAAATCTCTACACACCTGGAAAGAGGGAGGAGGGTGGGTTGCGCAGCTCCGTGATGACAGAAAATTGGGATAGAATTTGAGACCTTGGTGAGGAGAGTTTGGGTTGGAATCCTAGAGCCACAAAGTTGGAAGGTGGCCCAGAGCCATGCAGTCTAACCTGCTGTTCTGTGATGGGTCTCCAGCTAAAGCCGGCATGGGCAAACTTTCTAACTTGGGGGCTGCATGGCAGGCCAGAGTGGGGTGGGTGGGTCCTCTTTTAGAGGCAGAATGTGAAGGAAAGATGGGAAATGTTTGGATCCTAAAAGGGTTGGCCTTGGTCAGGATGAGTTAGTGGACAGGAGAGAAAAAGTGTATCTATTAGACCCGTATTGCCTACTCCTGATATAGAATCCTAGAGCTGGAAGAGAGACCACCAAAGGCCATCCAGTTCAACCTCCTGCCATGCAAGAAGGCAAAATCAAAACACTCCCAATAGACTGTCTCTGCGGAAAAGCCTCCAGAGAAGGAGACTCCACCATACTCCAAGGCAACCTATAGCACTCTCCAACTGCTCTTACTCACAGGAAGTTCTTCCTAATCTTTTCAGTTAAATTTCTTTCTCTGCCATTTGAACCCATTGCTTCCTTGTGACCTGGTCCCTAGAGCAGCAGGAAGTCAGTTTTCTTCCTCCTCCTCCTCAATGGGACACCCTTTGAGAAGTCCAAAACACCTGGAAAAGCACAGATTAAGAAACTTTGCTGTAGACAAGCAGTTTTATGTAGACAATAAATAATATGGGCAACAAGAGAGAGTCCTGGAGGAATTAGGGGCCAAATAGTTGAACAGGAATATCACCAGTGCCACTGCCGCCCCCTCCCTTCCATCTGAGAGGGGGAAGAAGAAGAAGAGAGGAAAAGAAAAAAGAGGAAGAAGAGTGATGGGAGGAAGCAAGAAAGAGAAGGAGAAGAAAAGGGAGGAAGGAAAGGAAGGAAAAAGAGGAAGGAGAGAGTGAAGGAGAAAAAGAGAGAGGAAGAGGAAAGAAGGGGAGGAAGGAGAAAGATAGGAGGAAGAAGGGAGGAAGGAGGAGGAAAAAGAGGAAGAGAAGGAAGGAGAAGGAAAAAGGAAGGAAGAGGAAGAAAAAAGGAGAGGAGAGGAGGAGAAAAAGGAAGGAAGGGAAGGGGGAGAAGGAGGAAAAGAAGAGAGAAAAGGACAAAGTGGAAGGAAGGAAGGAGGAGAAAAAGAGGAGGAAGAAAAAAAGAAGAAAGAAGAGGGAGGTAAGAAGGAAGGGAAGAGAAGGAGAGGAAAGGAGAAGGAAGGAAAGAAGAGGAGAGGGAGGGGAAAGGGAAAAGGGAAGGAAGAGAAGGGGAAAGGAAGGAAAGGAAGGAAAGAGGGAGGAAGGAAGAAGGAAGGGAAGGAGAAGGAAGGAAGAAGAAAGAGGGATAGAGAAGGAGGGAAGGAAGGATGAAAGAGGAGGAGGGAGAGGAGAAGGAAGGAAGAAAAGAAGGAAGGAGGGAGAGGAGGAAGAAGGGAAGAGGAAGGAAGGAGAAGGAAGAAAGGAGAGAAGAAGAAGGAAAGGAAGGAGAAGGAAAGGAGGAAGGAAAGAGACGGGGAAGGAAGGATAGGATGGTGAGAGAGAGGAGTGCCTGAGAAAAGAGCCCAAAGGGCCACATCTGGTCCCCGGGGCTGCATTTTCCCATGCCTGAGTGAAAGCTTCTCCAGCAGGGAGCTGCCCAGCCTTTTTTCCAACTTGTCTCGAAACGGCAATCTTTAGACATATTTATTTATTTATTTATTTACGACATTTATATCCTGTCCTTCTCACCCGGAAGGGGACTCAGAACAGCTTATAAGTTATTATGTACATATAATGTATTATATTGTTAGCATAGCACAATATTAGTATTATATATTCCTATATTGTACTATACCACTATCCTGCAATATTATCAGTATTACATTTAACACATAATTATTATATACTATATTGTATTATTATCAGTATTAGACATATCTAACCTATAGCTATGGATCACAGAGCTGTATGCAATAAAATCAGAGCAGTTTTAAACATTCGCATGGAATATTAGAGAAAAGCAGAAGTCTTTGGGTTGAAGATAGAACAAAAAATGGTAAGGGAATGAGGCAACTTACAGACACCGCTTCTAGGATTTGTTTCACTACGTGAGCCGCATCTCTTTCACTGTAGAAGCCCCTCTCAACAATCCTAGGAGGAAATTATTATTATTATTATTATTATTATTATTATTATTAGAAACACAACAAGATGAGTCCACATTGGACACTTCCCAAGTGTCTAGGACTGTGTGATGTATTGGGGAATAATGCGTGTAGATCCCTGTAAGGTGGACTTCTGCAGCTGGCAGATGGTAATTTTGTCAGCGCCGATTGTGTTTAAGTGCAGGCCAAGGTCTTTAGGCACTGCACCCAGTGTGCGAATCACCACTGGGACCACCTTTACTGGCTTGTGCCAGAGTCTTTGCAGTTCGATCTTTAAATCCTCATATTATTATTACTATTATTATTAGCGTATATACCCAGTATTGTCTGGGTGTGCATTTTCTTTGTGGCCCTTTCCTTCCTCTATTTCCCTCACACACTTCCCCCTTTTCACTTTTCTTTCTCTTCTTTCCTTTCTCTCCCCTTCTTTTTTTTTCTTATTTCCTTTGTCTTTTCTTTCTTCCCTTTGTTTCCCTCTTTTCTTTTTCTTTCCTTCCCTCTCCTCATATATTTTCCTTTTTTTCTTTTTTTAACAAATATTATTTATTTATTTTATCATAATTCAATACATTTCTTATATATTGTTTGTTTTGCAGCAGCCACATAATATAAGCATAAAAATAACATCTACTTTATCTTTTTTCGGCTGTTTATTATTATATATTGATAATAAAGCTATACTAGGATTTCTTTCTATTTTAATATTCATTATATCTTCTATTTCTCTAAATACTTTTCCCCCAAAATTACTTGCATATTTACATTGCCACCACATATGTATATATGTTCCCGATTCTTGGCATCCTCTCCAGCAATTTTTTAAATAGTTTTTATTTATATTTGCTATTCTTATTGGTGTTAGATACCATTTCCATATTAACTTACAGTAATTTTCTTTAACCCGTATTGATAATTTTTTCAAATGTCTTTATTTCCATAATTGTAACCACTCCGTTTCATTTATTTTCATCCCCAAATCTTCTTCCCTGACCTCCTTGAGCGTGTTATTCTTTATTTTTCCTTCATTTATTTGAATTATTATCTTATATACTTTACTAGTTATTCCTTTCCAATTTTTATGTTCCACTGTATTCCTTCCATTTTGTACTGTTTGTTCAAATTGATTAAGCTTACTTATCTTTTCCCTTTTGCTTTCTCTTCCTTGCTTCCCTCCTTTTCTTTCTTATCTCATCCCTCTCTTTCCTTTTTTTCCTTTCTTTTTTCTCAATTGTTTGAAGTTGGGTTATGGGGGTCTCGCTGCATTGTTTCATGCCTCAGGGGAGCGTGCTTGCCCCATCCATGTTCAACATCTACACAAATGACCAGCCACTGCCAGAAGGAACAGAGAGCTTCATCTATGCTGATGATCGTGCCATCACCGCTCAAGCAGGGAGCTTTGAGATGGTTGAACAGAAGCTCTCCGAAGCTCTAGGTGCTCTTACTGCCTATTACGGGGAAAACCAGCTGATCCCTAATCCATCTAAAACACAGACATGTGCTTTTCACCTTAAGAACAGACAAGCATCCCGAGCTCTGAGGATTACCTGGGAAGGAATCCCACTGGAGCATTGCAGCACACCCAAATACCTGGGAGTCACTCTGGACGGTGCTCTGACCTACAAGAAGCACTGCCTGAACATCAAGCAAAAGTGAGCGCTTGAAACAATACAATACGAAAGCTGACTGGCACAACCTGGGGATCACAACCAGACACAGTGAAGACATCTGCCCTTGCGCTATGCTACTCTGCTGCTGAGTACGCATGCCCAGTGTGGAACACATCTCACCACACTAAAACAGTAAATGTGGCTCTTAATGAGACATGCCGCATTATCACGGGGTGTCTGCGCCCTACACCACTGGAGAAATTACACTGTTTAGCCGGTATTGCACCACCTGACATCCGCCGGGAAGTAGCAGCCAATAGTGAAAGGACCAAGGCAGAGACATCTCCAGCTCACCCCCTGTTTGGGTATCAGCCAGCACATCAATGACTTAAATCAAGAAATAGTTTTCTAAGATCTACAGAGACACTCGCTGGAACACCTCAGCAAGCGAGAGTCCAAAAGTGGCAGGCTCAAACCCAGAACCTCAACCAATGGCTGATACCAAATGAGAGACTCCCCCCCGGGCACACAGAAGACTGGGCGACTTGGAAGGCGCTGAACAGACTGCGCTCTGGCACCACGAGATGCAGAGCCAACCTTAAGAAATGGGGCTACAAAGTGGAATCCACAACATGCGAGTGTGGAGAAGAGCAAACCACAGACCACCTACTGCAATGCAACCTGAGCCCTGCTACATGCACAATGGAGGACCTTCTTGCAGTAACACCAGAGGCACTCCAAGTGGCCAGCTACTGGTCAAAGGACATTTAATCAACTACCAAGCTTGTAAACTTTGTGTTTTGTTTGTTTGTTAAAAAATGCAATACAACTGTTTGGCTTGCTCCTGACACGATAAATAAATAAACAAACAAATAAATAAATAAATAAGCCATGCAGGAGCCTTTTTGGCATATATATATATATATATATATATATATATATATATATATATATGATTGTGATGATTTACATTGAGCACATCAGGAATTCCTGTTGTGCTCCAGCACTTCCAAAACTGGTGTGCTGTGATTTTTCCCAACTGCAAACAATCAAAGATCTAAAGGAGGGAAATGGTAGGAATATTGCTGGATATAATGTTGACCTCTCAGCTTAGAACACATGCGTCCCACTGGATAATGTTTCTATCTCACAAAACGCGAACCCTTAGTGTGTGAGTCTGAGCACAGGAAATATAAGAAAGGCTCATATGCAAACCCCTCCTTCTGATCCATCCAACGGTTTCCCTTCGGCATTAACAACACCAATTACTATTCCCCCCTTTGTTTCCTTCCCTCTTTTGCTCAATTAGTCACCTTTTATTAAGACTCTGCCAGTTAAACCACGATTTCTCACAGGTTACCTGTCAAACAATTCACCACCTGTCACCAGCTCAAGGATGAGTGCAATCTCCACAGGGGTTTCAAAGATCTCTTTGAGTTTGATCTAGAAAGAAAGGAGGACAGGTAGAGAGGAGGAGGAAAGAATGGATAAGTTTGGACCCAGCTTGTCCAGGAATGACTGGAGGACAGTTGGAAAAAGAATGGCCTTGAAAGGAGGCATTGTTTGACTTCATATTGTACTCCTGAACTGCACCAACCCCGGGGATCAAATGAATACAGACAGTCCTGGAAAAGTTAATATCAGGGGGGAAAGGGGTCTCCACTGAAGCTTTCTCTTCAATCCTTTTCCAAAATCCAATTCTCACAGGGACAGAAAGTGAGGTGAAATCTTCTAAACGGGCACAGACAACAAAACAAACACCACGGGGATGTTCACCCTTCCCTATACCATCCAAAGCCCCATATATATGTGTGTGTGTGCACGTGTGAGTATGTATACAAGCTGTCCCCTGCCAGGTGTTACTATGGCCCAGTCTGGTGATCTGGAAAATAAAGTAATGAGAAAGTGTTGGTTTCTAATATATGTAATTTCTTTATGCTTGTGGGTAAAGAGTATTTCTTGTTATTTCTTTGTCAGTGTTGATGTGGAGATTGTCTGGTTTGTCTACTCTGGAACATGCAACATATCATTGTCCTTCTTTAGGGGTCCCTTTCAACTCTTTGATACTATATCTGTCATATACATATATGTGTGTGTGTGAATCATATCTACCTATATCTATGGCTGGATGGTTCTTCGTCAAGAGGGCTTTGATTATGTTTTCTTTCCCTGGTGAAGGGAGTTGGACTGGGTGGCCTTAGTCAGCATTTCTCAACCTGGGGGTCGGACCTCTGGGGAGGGTCACGAGGGGGTGTCAGAAGGGTCGCCAAAGACCATCAGAAAACACTGTTGTCCATGGGGGTTCTGTGTGAGAAGTTTGGCCCAATTCTATCATTGGTGGAGTTCAGAATGCTCTTCGATTGTAGCTGAACTATAAATCCCAGTAACTACAACTCCCAAATGTCAAGGTCTATTTCCTCCAAACTCCATCTGTGTTCATATTTGGGCATATGGAGTATTTGTGCCAAGTTTGGTCTAGATCCTTCTTTGTTTGAATCCACAGTGCTCTCTGGATGTAGGCGAACTACAACTCCAAAACTCAAGGTCAATGCCCACCAAACTCTTCTAATGTTTTCTGTTGGTCATGGGAGTCCTGTGTGCCAAGTTTATCATTGGTGGGGTTCAGAATGCTCTTTAATTGTAGGTGAACTATAAATCCCAGCAACTACATCTCACTGGTGGACTGCGGCCCACAGGTTAGGAACCACTGCTCTAGATGCATAATTGGGGGGGGGGGGTCTGTGTGCACTTTGGCTGCAGGATAAACCACAACTCCCACCATGGTGTCAGTCCCTTCAAACCCCTACAGTAGGTTCAGTTGTTCATGGGAGTAATTAGAAAAAAGAAACCCCTACAGTAGGTTCAGTTGTTCATGGGAGTTCTGTGTGCCAAGTTTGGACCAGAGTCTATTGTCGGTGGTGGTCACGGCTTCTCCGGATGTAGGTGAAGTACAGCTTCCAGAAATGAAGGTCAGTTCCCCTCAAACCCCTCCAGTATGTTCAGTTGGTCATGGGGGTTCTGTGCGCCAAGTTTGATTCAGGTCTATTGTTGGTGTGAATCACAGTTTCTCTGGTTGAGGTGAAACAATTCCTACAAATCCACCCAAAGACCGCCAGTATTTTTTGTTGCTCATAAGAGTTCTGTGTGCCAAGTTAATTGCAGGTCCATCGCTGATGTGCTTCATAGAATCATAGAATCATAGAATCAAAGAGTTGAAAGAGACCTCATGGGCCATCCAGTCCAACCCCCTGCCAAGAAGCAGGAATATTGCATTCAAATCACCCCTGACAGATGGCCATCCAGCCTCTGTTTAAAAGCTTCCAAAGAAGGAGCCTCCACCACACTCCAGGGCAGAGAGTTCCACTACTGAATGGCTCTCACAGTTCAGAGTGTTCTTTGATTGCAGGTGAACTATAAATCCCAGTACTTACAACTCCTATCAGTCAAGATGAATTCCTCCCAAACCTCTCCAGTGTTTTGCATTGGTCATGGGGGTTCTGTGTGCCAAATGTGGTCCATTGTTGGTGGGGGTCACAGTGCTCTGTCTTGATGCAGGGTGAACTACAACTTCCATCATGTTGAGTCAGTCCCCCAAACCCCTCCAGTATGTTCAGTTGCTGATCAACTCCTCTCTGTTTGCTGTGTGCCATAGGAAAGGGTAGGAAAGGGTTAAGGGAGAGGTAGTGAGCAGGGTCATGCACATTCCACACCAATGGAGAGAGGCCTTGTTGCTGCGTGGTTTCGAGGCAGCAGTATAGTAATGGTGAGGCCGTGAACCATATTTTCGTTCTTGCGGACCACTGGTGTTCCACGGACCACAGGTTGGGAACCAATGAAATAGACGTTGCACATGTGTTTCTCATCAGTGCTTTGATTTCTGCCTGGCAGATGGTTGGACAAGATGGCCCTTATTGGGAGGTTTTTTAACAGAGGCTGGATGGCCATCTGTTGGGAGGGCTTGTGTTGGGTGCCCCTGCCTGGCAGAATGGGCTTTTACTAGGTGGCCCTTAGCGGCCCCTTCCGACGCTAGGTTTCTATGATGCTATGACTATGGATAATAATGCCTCATTTTGGAAGAGGGAGAAACGTTGCACCTTTGTGGGAGAAGAGATTTGTCCCTTGGATTTGCTTCTTTTCAACAGCGATACAAGAGAATTAAAATGGGTTGGTGCGAAGAGGGAGTGTGCGCCAATGCACTTTTGATTGGATGGTACTGGGAAAGTCACGCTTCCTGAAGATTTCGGTGACACTGTGAATTTCACGCCACTTTAATCACGGCGCCTGCTGCTCGGGTGACTGGCTGCACGAGACCCTGCAGCGCCGGTGACACGCCGCCCGTGCGAGGCTTAGCACTTTCCTCCAAGATGCAGCAGCGTGATCTTTTTTCCCTTATTAACTTCAAAAGTTTACAATCCTATTATCGCTTCCTATCAGCCAGAAGGCCTGGCAGGGGAGGGGAGATAGAAGTTGCAAGGGTAAATAATGGAATGAGATTTTTTCCTTTCCCTCCTCCTCCTTTTTCCTTGAGTAAACCAAGGAGATTTTAGGGAGAATATATAGGCGCACACACTCCTGGTTTTATTTCATTTTCTATTTGTAATAACACTGGGGAAAAAGAAGCAAGATCAGTAGTATGAAATTAGGTCAATGCGGGACAGAGGTTAGATTCTCATACTTCCTGATCGGGATCTTCAAAAGGAGATCTGGCTCTGACCCGTCCCGTTCTCAGAGTTTAAGATAAGAATCATAGAATCATAGAGTTGGAAGAGACCTCGTGGGCCATCCAGTCCAACCCCATTCTGCCAAGAAGCAGGAAAATCGCATTCAAAGCACTCCTGATAGATGGCCATCCAGTCTCTGCTTCGAAGCCTCCAAAGAAGGAGCCTCCACCAAAGTCCAGGGCAGAGAGTTCCTTTGCTGAACAGCTGTCACAGTGAGGAAGTCCTTCCTAATGATCAGGTGGAATCTCCTTTCCTGTAGTTTAAAGTCATTGTTTCATTGCCTTCTAGTGTCCCGGGCAGCAGTAAACAAGCCTGCTCCCTCCTCCCTATGACTTCCCCTCATCTCTTTATCCATGGCCATTATCATGTCTCCTCTCAGCCTTCTCTTCTGCAGGCTAAACATGCCCAACTCCTTAAGCCGCTCCTCATAGGCCTTGTTCTTCAGACGACCATTTTAGTTGCCCTCCTCTGGACACATTCCAGCTTGTCAACATCTTCCTTCAACTGTGGTACTCAGAACTGGACACAACATTCCAAGTGTAGTCTGACCAAGGCAGAATAGAGGGGGTGCATGACTTCCCTGGATCTAGGCACTATACTCCTATTTATGCAATCACCTTTCAGTGCTTGTCTCAGTAAAGGTGCTCAATTTTAGGGGGTGCTGAATTGTTTTACTAGCTTTTTTCAAACTGATTGTATTGCTGTATTTTGACTGAATTAGTTCGACTGGCATTGTCCGGATTATTTGAAAAAGTCCATCTTTAATTGTACAAAATGCATAAGTTTGTGGGTGAACTACAACTCCCACCATGGCAGGTTAACCCCAAGAAACTCTATCAGTACTTAAAGTTTATCATGCTGGGCAAGTTTTCTCTCTAGATGCATCATTGGTGGGGTTCAGTGTGCTCTCTGGCTGTAGGGTAAACTTCACCTTCCACTATGGTGAGTCAGTCCCCTCAAACCCCTCCAGTAGGTTGAGTAAGTCATGGGGGTTCTGTGTACTAAGTTTGGTCCAGGTCCATCATCGGTGGAGGTCACAATTTCCCTGGTTGTGGGTGAACTACATTTCCCAGAAAGGAAAGCCAGTTCCCCCGCAAACCCCTCCAGTAATCAGATTTTGGTATATCAGGTATGTATGCCAAGCTTGGTTCAGATCCTTAGTGTTTGGGTTCACAGTGATCTCTGGATGTAAGTGAACTACAACCCCCAAATCAAGGTGAATTTCCCCCAAAGACCTCCAGTATTTTTTGCTGGTCATGGGGGGGGGGGGGGTGTGCCCAGTTTGGTCCAATTCCATCTTTGGTGGAGTTCAGAGTGCTCTTAGATTGCAGGTGAACTGTACATCCCAGGATCTAAAACTCCTAGAAATTATGGTGAATTCTCCCCAAACCTCTTTAACATGGTCAGTTGCTGATCAATTCCCCTGTTTTCTGTGTGCCATAGAAAAGTATAGGAAAGGGTAAAGGGAGAAGCAGTGTTTTCACTTTTATTATACACACACACACATGTATGTATGTATGTGTGTGTATGTATATAAAGATATATATACACACACACCTAGAATTATACTTTAAAGTCTTTCAAACAAATTCAACTTAAGAACAAATCTACAGAAATTCTCTTGTTCGTAACTTGGGCTGCATTATATATCTATCTCTACTCATAAATTAAGGCAGGGAAGAACATTAACATTAAAATACTATACATAGCAGCTAGTTATGT